AGATAACAAGCTTAAGTCCCATCTGCTATTACCTATACTGCTAATTGACATGTAGTTTGTGGATTTGCCCTTTTTTTAAAAAAAGTTTGCCTTCCCTTAAAATTTGTGAAAGAAAATAAGAATAGGAGTGGGCCATTCAGCTTACTAAACCTGCTCTGCAATTACTTTTATGACAAATAATTTATTTTCTCTATATCTGGCCACAAAATACATAGTTATTCCACTTTTCATTATATTCTATGAAGCGCTTTAAGACATCTCAACATGATTATTATTCTCTTACTTAAAATGTTCCACTCCCCTGAACTCTTCAATAAAATCTATTTCTATCATTTTCTGAAGCACTGCGATTAATATTCTAATGGCAATTGATATAAAGAAAGGTTTCCTACATTCCCCTTTCACTCACTTAGCTCTAATTTTAAAGTTATATTCCCTCGACTTAGACTCCTGTATCCATTCTTGTGTCCAAAGTGTGCCCCACAGTGAACTATATCATCCACTGCCTGTCCGTTCATTCTTTCCATGTTGTTTTGCTTTCTTCTCCACTTATTATACTTCCAAGTTGATTGTCATCTACAAACATGGATTCCCATAACATAGTGGTTAACAGGCTCACCTCGCAAGCAAGAGGACCAGGTTCAATTCCCAGGCAGGCAAAATCTTAGGCAAGTTTTCTTACTCCACATGTTTCCGTTTACCTGGCAGAAAGTAGGAACCTGGTTTTCGTTGATTGGCGGATTGCTTTCTGCCAATCGGGGTAACAACTGGATTCCTACTTATTGCTAGGTAAACAGTAATAATCCCTCCCCCCAAAAAAGGAGTAACTGGCTGCCCCGTTTCACCCCCCAAATACAGTCAATCGCTTGATAATATATTCTGTGAACTGCGTTGAGACACCTCAGTGATAAGGTGCTATATCAAAAGAACTAATTATTATAATTTACTCTGTTCTAATCCTATGTCCAGGTCATTTACATAGTGCAAAAATTGGGGGCCCCAGCACAGATTCTTGTGGATGCAATTTTATCCAAATTATCTGAGTTGGAGATTGCTTCCAATTCCATGCATCTTAATCTTATCGTTTAATATTTTGTGTACTACTTGGTCAAATACCAACTGAAAATATATGCAAATGATATCTTTTAACTTACACCTCAATAATGATGTCAAAGAATTCTATTAGATTGTTTGGACATGACCTGCCCTTAAAACCATGGCTCTTTCTAATCAGGTTATATATACTTGTCCAAGTGGTCACACTCTTTCCCTAATGATAGAGCTCACCGACAAAACTCAATGGCTGCACTTTACAGTATATCCTATGAAGTGCTTTTGAGCTTTCCTCCTGATGGAAAGCACTATACCAGATGTAAGGATTATTATTTTCATTTTCCCATTACTGACAGTAAACTCACTGGCCAATAGTTAGATCTGGATTCTAACCATAATCCATTGATCCAGCAAGTTTTAAATGATAATAAATGCATGTCTAATTTCTTCACACATTTTAATACCAAAGGGTGGAACCTGGAGATATAAGAGATTTTTAAACCTTCACCACTTTAAATTAGCCTTTTCTGTAAATATCAAGATGAGTTTTATCAAAGGGTTGTATATACTTTTGACTAAATTGTGTAATTTAAACTGATATTGTACTATGTGATTCATACTGCAATGCACCACAATTCATTCTGCAACGATATCAGGTTTTATTTCGCAGTAAGTTGCAAGCTGCACACATCCTGCCTACAGTAGTAACACACTTTATCATTCTGGTAAAACTAACCTTTTAGTGAGGCATAGAGTTTCTAATTTCATCTTTAGCATCTTTCACATTTGGAGGCAGTCTCAAAACGCTTGACAGCATTTACTGTAAATTCAAATGACTGCCTATTTTAGCAATGTTCCACAAACAGCCATGAAGTGAACAAGCAATTTTATCTGTGAGATTATTGGCCAGGACTCCGGAAGAAAATAATACCATGGGATCTTTAACGTCCACTTCGTTTTAACATCTCATCTGAAGGACGGCACCTCCAACATTGCAAGAACCCCCCCAAATACTGTATTGGAGTATTAGCCTAGACTGGGAGTTTGAATTCCTGACATGGGGCTTAAACCTACAACCTTCTGACTCAAAAGCCAAAGTACTACCATCTGAGCTAAGGTTGATAACTGCATTTTACTGTATTCTGTATTGATAAACAAATAATTAAAGCTTGACAATGTTTTCAAAGATAGAAATAGAATATGAAAATTATTCATTTTAAACTTCGGCCAGGAAGCAACCAAGCACCCCCTTCCACTGCTGCTAAAATAGACTAGACTGCAGGTAGTTCAGTAATCAACAGTACTCTATGGGAAAACAAGCTTCCAAAGTAGAAAGTATGCTTCTATTCTAAGTATAACACCATCCCTACTAGTAAATATTAAAAGGCACTACTGAAATGTAAACTGTTTTACTAATTGTATTGAATTCTTGCATTCAAAATAATAAAATGTGGGTTAAAACAAGCCATAACAACACAAAATAGGAACTCTAAAGTATTGTAAGTTAGATGATCCTATCCTTAAACATACAAATCTGATCAGATCATATGAAATCAGAACCAGTCACCCTGACAACCATATTACACACTGCAACCCAATCTGATAAGTACAGGATACAGCTGCTGTTTGTGTTAAATCAGAAAAACTGATTCTCTATAAATTGAATTAATTCAGCCTCTTATCTTAATGAACTATAATAGAAAGTATAATTCCTGTACAGTTGTGCTTTTTCTATATTAATTTACTTTTTCAGTTCAACTACAATGAGTTTCTAGCACTACGAGATAAGCATCCATTAGGTAAATTATTTTTGTACGACTAAATAAAATTAACGATAATTTGACATCCGGAAAATGATTTCATACTGCAATCAACAACAACTTGCGCTTATATAGCGCCCTCCACTCAGGGTAGCGTTTCAGAATACTTAACAGTGGCGGAGCCTGGTTCCGAGCCGGGGTGGGTGGCGGGGGGGGGGGGGGGGGAAATCGTAAGCACAGTCAAAAAGGAAGGTTTTAAGGCGGGACGTGAAAAAGGGGAGAGAGGGGGCAAGGTGGAGAAATTGAGGGAGAGTGTTCCATAGTTTCGGGGCGTAGTGGCTGAAAGCGCAACCTCCAATGGTGGAGCAGAAAGTGTGAGGGACAAGCAAGAGGCCGGTGCCAGTCGAGCGGAGACACTGGGTGGTGGATTGGGGAGCGAGGAGGTCAAAGAGATAGAGAAGTGCCAGGGAGTGAAGCGATTAAACTAAAATATAGCAGATTAAATTGTTACTCATAAAAGGCTATATTGGAAAAAAATGCACCATTTCTCAAAGCACCACAAAATAACATTATTCAGTCATAGGCTTTAGCAGTAATACCATGAGTGTTGTTTAGGCTAGGCTTTTCAATATTCAACTGTAGCACCAAAAAATATTTTATAGAACAAAAAACACTAGGAAAATGGGAATAGAATAAGGGCCATTAAAAGCATTGTGTGCTTTTCCAGTGAAGTGGACATTTCTACAAACACTATATTACAGTAAAACTTGCACAAGTCATATATTTATAAATCATATAAACTCCTAACTCATAGATTCACCCAAGTCCCATTCAATTTCCTATCAAAACCACTTTACAGAGTTCTTTAGTCTACATCTCCTAACTCGTATTAGCGCTCCCCTACTCTCCATTACTGCTGCGCTTACCGGAGGCCTTGAATCTCGGGAATTGACGTCCTGGCCCGTCGATGCATGCTGCATTGAATCGTGGGAAATGTAGTCTTCATCCATCGACACATGTAAGGAAGAACTTCATTTCCTGCGACTCAATGTGATTCCAACATTTGCCAATAAGTGTGGGTGCAGTGATTGGTGAAGACGCATTGAATTGTGAGAAATGTAGACTTATCCCGTTATGTGTGTGCATTTATCAGCTGCAATAAATTACTCATGCGCAGTGTAGATTTCTGATTAAATTGGATTTTCTACAATCCCTACAGTTTGCGTATAACTCGGACTTCGCGTAAGTTATATTAAATGTTATGGTCCTGACTGATACTATACAGTGAGTTTTACTATTTACTATCTCGGCGATCATGACCACAAACTCCTAATCAACTCTCCTGATGCTATTATCAGCACTCACCATTTAAGTAAAAATGTTCAAAAATTCAGCAGAACAAAAATGAAAAGAATATAAAAAAAATGTATCTTAGATTTTAAATGCAGTAATGATGTTAATAAACTTCACCGGTAATTTTCTGGTTTAAAAATCAGATAACAACAATAATAACTTGCATTTATATAGTGTCCCTGACACAGGGTAGCGTTCCAGTGCGCTTAATGAGAAAGCCAGGTATAATTAAACATTTTAATACACGCCTATTTTTGGCTAATTATGCAAACCCAAACCACTGATTTGAGTTTTCAAATACAATTTCAAAAAATACTTTTCCACAAAAAAAATCAAAACATCTGGAAGTTCTTGTGCCAGTGACAATATATGCCTCTTTGGTAACTTCAAATTAAATTTGACTTTCAACCTCAAAATTCTATGAAGAGTCGACAGGTCAGAATTACTTGCTTTTTATTTATATTTCTCGCCTTAGTAGAAACCATTAATTTATTTTCCTTCTTCCACTGCTCTTTTGAACCCTTTTGAACTTATTTGCAGTTGGGGTACATTTCAGCCATAATCTAATATAAGGGCAGAACAGGCCCAAGGTGCTGAATGGCCTACTTCTGTTCCTATGTCCTAACCCACATTACAATCTCAACTCATAAAATAAATTGACGTTCCAGAGGTAATGGGGGAGTACTGCATTATTGATAGTGCAGTCCTCAGGATCAGACAACTTTGTACCTATTTTTGTGTTTATGACCTCAAGATTGAGAGCGAAAAAGGAAATGTGCCTCTAAATTATTTTATCTACCAACACCTGTACACTATCAAAGGAGCTCAACTTACCTGCACAGAGGCCTGAAACTGCTCCCAGAGTTTGTCTGGTACTTCATCGGGTAAGCAGAGCAAAAGTTCAGTACAGCTCCTGATAGATTAATCAAAACATTAATAGAAAATAGTTACCACTTTTCACACAATATTACAAGCTTACCCATTACATTTTTAACGTACACTCTGACCAACTATACAAAAGCTTAGCAAGCGTTTTCTTAGTAGTTATTGCAAATACTTTTGTATTACCTGACAAAATGATCAAGTTGAACTGAAAATGTTGCAAAAATAAAGAAGCAACAACCCAATAAAACTGCAAGATCCATTGTTTATGTAACTGAAATGTAAAACCAAAATGTAAAAACAGAAATGTCATGCCTATACATTTATTGCACACATGATTGTTATGATTATAGTATGATGCACAATATCACATCCTTATAATTTATGCAGATTATTTACAGAGATACTTAAAACTTGTAAGAAACAGATCAAAAGATGGAATATTTGGAGCTACATTTTACACCTCAGAAAAAGAATGCAAATCAAGCAATACAATGCTATTGCAGGATGGGCCACTCGCCTATGTACAGGTGATGACCCGTTTCTGTGGCACATTGAAGATTCATATTGGCTTTAAAAAACACACTAGATTTGTGGCAAACTGCATGGAAACAATAAACCATTTAAAAATGTTCTACTTAATTACTCATGAATGTGAATTATTTCAGTGATGCATTATAGCAGTAGACAGAAAAGCAGATTGTCCAGTTCACTAGTGTAATGGAAGCCAACAGCTAAACACACACAATTAAATTTAAAAAACATGGCAGGGAGCGTTAGTCTGTTTTGGAGTTCTGATTGTGAGATAAACTGACTTCCAACATTGATTTTTGTAGTTTATTGGAAATATTGGTGCTGTCAAATTATGTGACAGCTCAAATTTATCAAGCTATTTTTTAAATTTTGGAGCAAGTGAAAACTGATATCACCAAAAGTTTGTCCAAGTAAAATTCTCAGATGAATGAAAGAATCAAAGCATGATGACGATAAACCCTTGACTATTTTAAGAATCCATTCACTTTGTCATGGTTGATCCCTCTGAAAACTTAAAACACTCAACTCCTTTGGTTGAGAGAATTGCATGAGCTCCATTGCTACTTGGGTCTGATCTGAATTTTACCAGGACTTGGTGAGACTGGGAATTCCTGGTATACAAAAAAATGAAGTTACTGAAACATAAAGTTTGTCAGGCCAGACAGGGATTCCCTCAAACACCACAAGCAGCCCTATAACAGATCAATAAGAGTGGAAAAATGCGGCAATATGACATCTATTTTGTTATTTGTTCCATGATTGCCCTTGGAATATGTAATGATACTTAATGGTTTTCCCTTTGAGGGGAACAATTTGTGCATTTTTATCCAATATGAATATTCCCTTATGGATTCCAGAAACTTGCATCAATATCCATTCCTTCGCAGTAATGCTTTACTTGGACTATAGGAGACGTGCCAGTTCTGGTTTTACTGCTGCTTTGGGTGTTTTCCAACAATATAAATGGGGTGAATTCCAAGGCATTTGCAAAAATGCTTCTGAAACAGTTATAAATATAAAGAAAAGATTAAGTTATCTGTGTTTTTTTAATGATTACCAGTTCTAAATTGATTGGGGTGAGGGGGGAGAGAAAGGAAGAAGAAAGAAGGAACATTAACTATGAAGATGAAAATACTGATTTGTTTGAAGCTTAAATATAATTGCATATATGCATTAGCAAACAGCAAATCTTAAAAAAAACATTGAGCAAAGAACATAGCAAAAACATCTGGATTCTGTTGGTTGTTGTGCAAGAAAACGGAACTCAACGATCAACATTTATGTACTACAAACTGCAAAACAGCACAACATTTAATGAAATGCCAAGATACCACACAGACTCTTTGATCAGTTATATTGGTTATGCTTGCAGTCCTGCAACCTCAGATTAAGCATCATTTCTAAGATTAAAAATTGCAAGTCCATTGATGTATCGACTTTACTCTACCCAGATTAGGGATAGAATGCTCTACGGTAGGTCTGAACCTGCAGCCCCACTGACCACATCAACCACAAAATAAAGCATCTATTTCTAACCGCTTAAGCCTTACTTTTTTTTCCCCCCCAACAAGTATCCCACCTGTGGCTTTAAAATTACTGAACCAAAGCCAAGCCAAACATTTTTCCATCAGTTTAAACCACTAATAAGGCCAGAATTAAAGTTGGTGCAGGAGGAATACATAAAAGAATATCCTACATTAACAGTCAATTTCAATTAAGAGACTTATTTCTGCCATGGTGTGCACTGCAGAAGGGACAAGATTTTTCAGCACATACCATCCAGAGTACCAATAATAGAAGCAGTAGATGCACATGTTGCATGTTTAAATGGAAAATTATGCAGTGGCAAACACATCTGACTTTTATCATTTAGTTATTTCAGGAATTCACTTATTGGATTTTGAAAATTTTTGGCTGTTATGTTGACATATGTTTGAGGACAAATCAGATGGACTGAACAAATCAGACTCAGCTGACGAAAACAACCTTCCCCCCCACCTTTCTTCTAAACTTTTGTTAAAAAGAGCTCCAAAGCTAGGTTCACAAGCTTCAAATCACTACCATCTTCACCAACTTCAACTGGCTCACACTACCCCAGTGACTTTTAAGACTAATTCTTATCTTCAAATCCTTTTGCGGTTTTGTCCTGCAGTGTAAGCAATTTCTTTCAGCCCTATTCTACTGAGTATTCCCTCCACTTTTTCCTGAGTCTTGTCCATGCTTGTTCCTCACTCTTTCCGTCTCACAATTGGTGGCTCTGCTTTCTTACCTTTCTCTCTGCTTTCCAAACCTGCTTTCCAAACACATTTCTTTTGGACAATATCCTTAAAACTTCTTTATTTATATATCTGTTAAAGTTTCTAGACAATCACCCAATGTGAAAGGCAATTCAAGATGTCATAATACCACTGAAATCCTGTAATACCATTTCAGGTTGGGCCAAATTTCAAACCCTAAACATTTAATTTAATTTAAAAAACTAAAGAAATGTTGGAATAACATTTTCAGAGTATGACATGTTTGCATAGAAATATAAACTAACATTTTCTGACCTAAAGCCCAACAGATAGTTGAGATATTTGCAGAAATTGTGTGCAGCTTTCCAAAAAGCAAAAATTGCCAAATATGTGGCTTATCCAAACGCAAGGATTATTAACAATGAGTTTAACGTTTTTCCAAAAGTGACAGGGGAATAACCACAAACTTGAATTGGGTGGGGAAGGAAGGTCAAGGAGGAGAAAATACATGAGAAAGGTAGTGTTGACTTCAAACAAGGACTTGAGAGATCCTGGCCGCTTAGGCGACCAGATATCAGTGCTATCAAGAGAGGCACAGGAAAATATTTCAAAGAATTCAACAGCTTGTTTGAATTAAAACACATTTGATAGTCTGAAAATCCTATTGTAACAGTTCTTTCATTTTGAACTTTTTTGATTAAAATAAAAATACAAAAAAGGAAGCTACTAAAAATACTGCAATTTAAAAATTCAATAATGGCCAGGAAAAAAAGCCAATTTGCTACAAGCCAAGACTAAAAGGTCTGCCTTTCAAAATAAGGTTCAGAAAAGCTAGAAGGTAATTTATATGTTTAAATTATTACATAAAACATGCAGGCTATTTTCAAATACTGTTATTTCGCTGTATTTGATCAGCCAAAACTATTCTGTGGAGATTTCCCTTTTGTTGAATCGCACTGTAAACAGCTGTGTTTAATAAGATGGAATTTTATAACTTCTCTACTTAGAGAGATCCAGCCCATGCTGAAACAATTAAGGCAGTCCTGGTAAAAACATATTCTTTTAATAGTTTTTATGATTCTAATTCCAATCTCACATCCAATGGCACACAATTAACAACAAGTAGAGGCTATGTGGAAGATTACTTGGCATTAAACAATTTTCTATTGTAAAAGGAAGTTTTGATTGCTAACAGGAAATAAAATTGGAATGTACAGTGCTGGATGGTACAAACAACTATGGGAATTGAAAGGAGGATAGCAATTACAATAAAAATCAACCTTTTAAACTTTAGGTATAATCTGCAAACATTATGAGATGTATGCAATTAATAGCTCATCAGTAACTTGAAATGGTTCAACAGAAGCAGCAGACAAATTACAGGACTAGGTTCAAATTTATGAACACAAAAATGGCGTGCTTAAGTAACCTTCCTGAGTCATTAGATAATAAACTAATTCATTCACAACTGAATTTATTTGCATTTAGACCATGCAAGAGAAAGAAAACACAATGGGAAAACAGAAAATTTCAGATAAGATTTTGATTTTTTTTAAAATTCCGATGGATCAACGATCGTGCTTCCTTAGCACAGCAGGTAATTAAACCAAGGACAGGATGAACAGGCTGCACATCTCCAGCCACCTGCAGCCTGACCCAATTTCCAAGCCAACACATGGGACAGAGCCAGCAGGAATATTGATCCTTTGAAGTCTGCTATTCCTTTTGACTTGGAAGTAGGCATAGCTAGCGAGATTATAACTAGCATTTGTAATTAATATAAGAAATAGGATAAGGTCGGCCAAATTAATAAAAATATTGATCTATTCATTTTATAGACAGAAAATGAACTGTAGGCCTTAAGCTTTTGTTTGTGGTAGAATGTTCAATAATACATTCCCAATTAGCAATTCAAAAACTAGTTGTAAAAATAACTTGTCCAAATTTGGGCTTTGGCTACCTTTCTAAATTCACCAATGTGACATAACCAGGCAAAGTAGACTGTGATTAAATCTCCTGGTCACCTGCCACTTCACAGGATACTCAGGACCAGTGAAAGACAACAGGAACAACAAATTGTATTTATATAGCACCTTTCACATAGAAAATACATCCCAAGAAGGTGGACAGTAGAGGGATTGCACCCAAGTTGGGATTGGATTCAGGAGAGGTTGGGACCAAGAGTGTCAGGGATGGGGGGGTGGGCTGCGGGGGAAATGCCCGGAGACTTGGTCAAAAGAGAAAGGTCTTGAAATAGACTCTGAAGGAGGCAAGGGATGGGGCAAGGCAAAGGCACTCTGGTATGAAAGGCAGAGAGTGAAAGCCCGACCGTCGATAATGGAGTGGGTGGGGCATCCTCATCTTCACCTTCAAAGCTCTCCATGACCTTGTTCCTTCCGTACCTCTGTGACCTGCTAACTCAATATAGACCAATCCGCTCCCTCCATTCATCGGGCTCCAGCCTGTTCCATGTCCCCCGCCCGGCCTGCCCCACCATCAGCGGTCAGGCTTTCAGCCCCTCTGCCCCCACACATTGGAACTTCATCCCACAGACCCTTGGCCTTGCATCCTCCCTTGCCTCCTTTGGACCCGGCTTTGAGCGTGCCTTCGGTCACCCCCGTACCCCTACCCGCCATGCCCTCCACCCCTCTGGATCCTAACACCCTGCTCGGGTCCAAATCCCTAACTGTTCAGCACCTTGGGACGTCCTCCCGACGTGAAAGGCTCTGTACAAATGTAACTTTTTGTTGTTATACTCTTCTCCTCCTCATCTGAGCTGTATTTTAATGCAAGCACAGACGTAAAGATTTTTTAAAAAAAGCAATGATCTGACCAATTCCATGAAATGGTTATTTTTAATTGGATACTTTGTAACTCTGAAGTCTCATAACCTGATCAAAAATTCTCAGGGGAAAATTATAAACTTGTAATAACTGATTTGATAGAGATACAAAATACAGCTCACAATGTCTACAAGTAACTGGTTCATGCACAAAATCTATCTTTTGCTTATCCAGTTATATAAATATTTGCAAATTAGCTTTTTAAGGAAATAAACAAGTTGACCATTGCCAAAGTGTATAAATACAGGGTGTAAAATTGACCGTTAATGGTTTGTGTCAAGCCACCCACTTAAAAGCCCTCTGGAAAAGAACTGAAAGCTACTGGAAGAAGTAGTACTTACAATGCGAGTCGATCAAGTACAAAGCATACATTCTCACATTCAGAAGTGAGGTATGGCCGTGCTTTAGAGTAACTCTGTATGGCCACTGTATACACCTCCAACAAAGGCAAAGGGTCTTCAGAGATTTTCCATTTCCCAGCATACTGCACTAGTGTCTGTAAGGGATTTAAGAAAAATAATTCAGAAACCTTATGTGCATGAAGCCAGGTCAATACCAGATTACAGTAATTTATGCTGCATTCTATTGAGCATTTGTAAACTGTACTTTGGAGCTAAATAATCCAAGTACTGTATTATTCTTGATGGAAACCCCAAAATAAGTACCACCCCAACAACTTACCATTTAGTTCTGGGATAAAATTTTGGCAAATTCAATCAACTGTAATTCTATTCATCTTGGTGCTAATAACACTTGTCTGCTAATTCAAACTTCATTGTATATCGGAAAAGAGAAGGTGGAAGACAAGTAATAAAAAATAATTAAAAATAAAGAAGTTAATATTCAAAATAGTATTTGGAAGAAGGACTCAAAAGATGTTCAATTTGCATGAAAAAATATTTTCCCAGCAAGAAAACCAAGGGCATTGCAACAATCTATCAAAAAACAAACCCATGAACATAGAATGCTGTAGTGATAACATTTGAACACACACAGTGGGATTTTGCACCATTATTTTCGATCTTCATCAAGCCCCAATCATATTTCTAAGGAGAATGAAACAGCTACTGCAGATTCTTATGAGAAGTAGATGAGCAATTAGTTGAAAATTGCAGTTTATGGGTCTATAAATTTATTTCCCTAAATAACTACTTGCTCATATTGCATTATTCACTGCATACAATTATACCATTGTAACACGGTGATCCGCAAAATAACAGGTTATATTATACTGCAGTCCAATTAGTACTCCTGGTTATTAATAATAATAATTGCATTTGATACATCACATCCTTTAGACATTTCAAATAGTTTCACTATTTGAATGAAGCGCGACAGCATTCAGCCATGTTCCACAAACTGCCATGGAGTGAGTGACCAATTTTATTTGGGGGATTGTTGGCCAGGACACCGAGAGACACTCTCTTTTCGAATAGTACCATGGGATCTTTAATATCCACCTAAACAGGCAGATGGGACCTTGGTTTAAAGTCTTATCCGAAGGACAGCACCTCCGACAATGCAACCCCCCCCCCCATCACTGCACTGGAGTGTCACCTTAGACAATGTGATTTGAAATCCCAATGTGGGGCTTGAATCCACAATTTTCCAACTCAGAGTCGAGAGTACTACCTACCACTGTGCCAGGCTGACACACCTGGTTCATCAGGTGTTGCTGCTGATGTCACCAAGCATCACTGTACATGTATGTAATGTAGAGGAATCCAAACTGGTCAGTTGCAGCTGCTGTTGTAAGCTTTTCCAGTTATTTCTGGGACGCCATTAGTTTCTGGGACTCGGCGGCCTTCTGCAACTGTGCGCCATGCACAGCACGCAGGTCAGCGCCAAATCACACGGCCGTAGGCTTCAAGTCCACCATGCGGAAACCTACAATATACTGAATTAACCACACCGAGTTTATTCAGATCCGAGTCTGTCTCACCCTAACAAAGTGCTTCATCAGAGCGCTATGTGAATGCAAGTTGTTATAGTAAAAGATTCAGGCAAGAATATACTGTTGACCTGAGCCAATAGAAAAGTGCGGAAATATTTGCCAAAAATTGCAGGGCGTTTATCGGCTCTTGCCGAAAATCAGGGGTCCTTATTGAATTTTGCAGAGAACTGCACTGTTAGTGCTTTTGAGAGATGCATTTTGTGAAACAATCTGGATTAAAACTATAGGAATATAGTTCCTGACATGTAGTCATGTTTAAAACACTAAAAATGCTAATTTGAAAAGTACAGCACTTACCAAGAATTGGTTGCAGGAGCTCAGTTTAGGCCATGGGCACCGGACGAAGCCGATTTCCCACTCGCGAGGCTTCCGCAATCTTAAAACTCACTGCTCCACGCATGCACGAGTGGAGCCGCTCCACCCACAGTTGCAGCGTTAAGCAAACAGCACGCATAGGCCCAGGGCCTAGCACACTGTGTGTACACATGTGTAGCGGAGGGGGGTGTTTGTAGCGGATTCCTCTGAAAAAGTGCGGCCCACTTTTCTACTGGCCCAGCTATTGACCCATCTAGTCTACAACTTCCCAAAAGATTCCTTCTGCACATCTATTTCATCATCCTATGACCTTGGATAGTGTTCCAGCCATTAATTATCTTTGTATGTAAAGAAATACTCACTAAAATGGTCTGTCCTAAATTTTCCCTTTATAAGCTTCAGCCTATGAAACTGGTCAAACAAATCATTCTGTTTTTGTGGGCAAAATGCAGCAGCCAGTTGCGCAAACAGCAAAATCCCACGGAGTGAGTCACCAATTTTATTTTGGGGGTTTGTTAGCCAGGACACTAGGAGAAACTCTCTTCTCTTTTCAAATAGGGCCATGGGATCTTTAATGTCCACCTGAACAGGCAGATCTCGGTTTAACTTCTCATCCAAAGGACGGGTTGCTACTCTACTCCTCTTAGGTGTCTATTATCTAGACTAGGGATGGCCAACCTGAGGTCTATGGACTGCAATTTGGCCCATGCGAATATTTTATGCACGCATAATGTGGCCCACAGGCTGCAAGTTGGCCACCCTTGGTCTTTTCTATAGACAGCTTATTTTTCCTGCCAAAGTGAACTGCTTCACATTTTTCTATATGACAACAACAGATTGCATTTATAATGCAACTTTCACATTGGGAGGTGCTTAAACTTCTGTCTGTTTTGCCCATTCTGCTTTATGTCTTCTTGCATTCTTCTGCAATCCCCTTCACTATTTACCACACCAATAGTTTGGTGTTATCTGTAAATCCTGACACCACACGTATACCTGAATCCAAATCATTGTACATGGTGAACAGTAGCAGTCCTAAAGCAGATCCCTGCGGAACACCACCTTTTGACATCCTGAGAAGCTTCTGCAACTCCTATCATTTGGTTTCCTAACCATTCTTTAATCCATTCCAGTTACCTCTCCCAAGATTCCATGTGCTCCTGTTTTAATCATGACTTCATGTGGCACTTTATCAAAGGCCTGCTGAAAATCCAGATACACCATCCCCACTGCTTTTTCCTCGTCTACTTTATTGGTTACATCTTCAAAGAATTCGAGAAGTTTGGTCAAGCATGACCTTCCTTTGGTAAATTCATGCTGGCTGCTCTTAATTATATTCTCCTTCTCCAGGTAACTAGATACTTCATTTTTTAATTATAGTTTTAAAACCTTGTCCAAAACTTTATTTTACCAATTATTACTAATTCCCAGCAAATTGGCTAGTATAAAGATTTTTTAAAATCCTTTATGATTCCTTGTTCCACAACCTGTTCTGGTACTTTGTTCTGCATTCTTTCCATCCTTTTACATTTTCTTTTAAAAAAAACATGTATTTTCCTATTCTCTTTTATTGTCCTTAATTTAAAGCTATAACTATTTGTTCCTCATTCTTCCCACCTAAACCTGTTACTAATCAAGAACTTGAACAAAACAGTGGACCTACATCAAATACCCTTTATATTTGATATTAAATCCAGTATTTCAGTTTTCTGTGCTTAGATTTCCTCATGTATTCCATTAGAAAAGGGTATGTACAGACCAAACTTAAAAAAGTTAATTTAATGCCAATTCAAAGTAAAATAAATTTCTCTCTACTCTTCCCTTACGGCAACAATTATTTTTGGTGTTCAAATCCTGAGGTACTTGCAACCCTCTGGTACCTTCTCCATTTTGCCATTCAATTATGGAAGGCAACACAGCTAAACTTGATCCTGTCCTCCCATTACAGCATTAAGTCAGTCTTAAATGAATCCAGCAACCTCGCCTCTATCACCTTTAACTTGTTCCAGCTGTTAATATCCTCTATGCACAGAAATACTAAAATGATCTATCCTAAAATTGCCTGAACATCTGAAACCTGGTCAAACAAAATTATCTTCTTCCCAATTAATAATAATAAACTCCTGATATACCGTCACTCCAATGGAAAAGAACTCAGTGACGATATCCAGGGTGACCATCCAGACACAAGACGTCCGAGGCCACTAGGGGCACTGTGCCCAGGAGGCCCAAGACCAACACATACTGTTCCTGCGCAGAGCAGGGTGACAGGGCAGCCCCGACCACACAACCTCATTTAAGTTAAATACAGTATAATTTTAGGTATACGGACATATGTCTACAAAACATTTTTTGGTTTGTTTTGCTCATTTTAACAACCTTAATCACTTTAACAATCAAGCAGAACCTCATCACGACAGTTCGCTGAGCAGCTGGCTCTGAGTGGTTCAGGCAACTTTGCTCCGATTATATCTAATACTTTACTTATTGGGATATATAAACGGTGACTTTGTAGGTTATAAGCTGGGCCAATAGAAAAGTGCGGAAATGTTTGTCCAAAATTGCAGGGAGATTGGGACATATCGGGCACATTTTTGGCAAATTTGGGGAAAATTGCAGGGAGTTGATTGATGCTATTGAGGTACATTTTACAGCCAACCTAGATTTTTTCACGTTATTGATAAAAACTAAACATGAGGAAATAGCACATATTAGAATATTAGATTGTTGCAAACAAAATTCTTAATTGCTTTTTTAAACAAAAACTGGGAGGGCCATTTTCTGGGGAGGGCGGGGACACGGGACACCAGTGAGGCTACAGGAGCTCACCACCTCCTACCTCTCCGGGCTCGGCCGCAGAGATGCCGGCCCGCCTGCAGAGACGCCCACCCGCAGACATGCCCACCTGCCCGCAGAGACGCTCATCCGTAGACACGCCCAGATGCCCGCAGAGACGTCCACCCGCCCGCAGACACGCCCACCCGCCCGCAGGCACGCCCACCCGCCCGCAGGCACGCCCACCCGCCCGCAGCCATACCCGCCCACTCGCAGAGATGCCCAGACAACCGCACACCCGCGGAGACGCCCACCCACAGAGAGGTCTGCCTGCCCTCCTGCAGAGACGCCGCTCGCCCCAGAGACGCCCGCCCATTCACAGAGACGCCCGCACGCCCGCCCACTCACAGAGACGCCCGCACACCCGCCCGCTGAGATGCCCGTCCGCCCAC